CTCCACAGAAATGGAGTCCTGGGGCAGCAAAGCCAGGCTCTGCAAGGGTGCACTTTCAAGTCTCCAATTCCGTAAACAGACCAGGCATGCTGTTCACACCCTGCACTGTCCCCAAAGTCCTGCAGAGCCTACTGTGGCAGAAGCAGGTGGGGACGCTATAAATTATGTGTATGCCTGTGTGTTCTGCGCTGGAGTGCAGTTGGCACCAGGACTGGCTTTCCAAATGCTGATGCCTGAGTTAAAGTGCAGAGAGACCGCTCTGAGTCCAGGTACCAGAGGTTAGCAGCTGCTAATACATTTATTAACTCTCTGGTGCCAGAGATCAGGGAGGTCTGGCCTCCCAGTCACAGAGCCCTGGAAATTCTATTCCAGGACATGCCTGGACTTGTTGATTACCACCGGGGGCAGTTCTGAGACAGCTGCAGAGGGGACAAAGCTTATGGAGTCTCTGAAGGGTAGGATTCTGTGGTTCCCCAGAAGGAGGCAAGGCTTTGTAGCATGCTCTTGCCCTTTTTAATCCTTGAGATGAAAACCTCAAGGCGCTGTGTCTTGGTGGTGACCTTTCACACAAAGCAGAGTCTGGGGGCTTTGCTCGAACCATAGGACCAGAAACTGATAGGAAACACTTAAATAAAAGACATTAAATAATTCACTTTTTCAACCTACTGTAATAATTGTTTAAATTAACAATTAGAAAAAACAGAACAGATGCTTCATTTTCTCTGTCCTTTTCATTTTAAAAGTCATATCCTATTTTTAAGCCAGTGACTGTTAGGGTCAGTGTCCATGTAGGCATGGACTGCCAAAGCTCTCGGTCTGGTGTCTGTATGTCCCTACCGTGTTCCAGGGGCCCACAGCAGGGCTCACACCCTGTGCCAGCGCATCTTCCTGGAGCTGCTGGCTTTACCGGTTTGCATTTTGGTGATGACAGCTGGCTTCCCACTTTGGGGCTTAGTTAACTCTCTACAGAGTCTCAGAAAGTGTGTGTGTGTGTGTGTGTGTGTGTGTGTGTGTGTGTGTGTGTTTGGGGCGGGTTTTAGTTTCATTGATTCCATATCAGTTTTCGGCAAGCAAAACAATCCTTAAGTATGTAAGTTCGTTGGCAAATATTCAACAGTCGTTGAAGGTGTGGGGGGGGTGCCCTGTATTTTTACATTGGCTTTATCATAACTGACTAGCAAGCCTATTTGCTTATTGATGTTTTCATAAACACCCAGGATGAAAATCTTCGAAACATAGAAATAACAGGTTTTGTGGGCTTCCTGTAGACACAAGGTTTCTTGAGGACATCTTGGGTCTTCAGTGGTTTGTTTCCAGTCCTCTGTGGTCACTGGGATTCGTGCTGTGTAGTGTGAATCCGGGCAGTATACACAGCCCTTCTGCTTGCTGACCACATGTGGTGTGGGTATTAGACAAAGCTTGGTTGCAGTTAATTCCAGGGTAGGCGTGGGCCCTGTGGCCTGCATCTCATCAGGTAAGGGACTTAACCCCACCTCCCATCTGTGTGCAGTCCTTTGATTTTGTTCTTCGAATATCACTGCCTACACTTTCTCCTTAGCGGCACATACCTTACAGTGTCTGCTGCTAGGTTTGGGCAGATCCTGCAAGACTGCTGTGTTTACCCTGCTCGGCAGTCATGGTGATAACTCCAGCACCAGATGGCTCTGCAGGAAGCTTGCTAAATGCTTTCTGGAAGCAGGGTTTAGAGACCTGCCTTGGCCTGTGGACAGCCAAGCCTCTGAGAGCCGTGACTGGGAAGGCTACCATGGGGAAGCCGCTCTGGATTGAGCAGCACACTCTCACTTGGATTCAGCGTTCTGTTGTAGTTATGCCCACCAGGATTGCCTTCCAGCTATAAGATAACTGTTACAAGTCCATAGGCTGCTGCTGCTTTGGGGAGCAGGAGCCCATAGATGACAGACTTGGGTCTATTCTAAAAAATGCATTTTCCTGTGCCAGTAAGTGGTCACTGCAGATGCTCTTTGAATGAAGACATAGCTGGGCAGTTTAGACGCAGACATGTTGACTTGTTGGAGAGCTTAGAAACATGTTATTTAGAGTGAGGCCCTCGGTGATGGGGCATAGAAGTCCACCCATGTGTGTGGAAACCCAGTAGAACGTCTGGCAAGACAGTAGTCCTTTCTGGTTAGCGACTGGAAGTCCCATTATAGTCCTGTCAGCATGGGAACATTCTCCTAACACTGCCCCAGGTTCCACAATGGCAGGTTCGTGGGTGCCGGTCAGGCAATGGGGAGGGCCACTGCGGCCCTCTTAGGTGTTGCTTTGCAATGACCACACCACAGCAGCAGTATGAGTCCACACTGCCTCACAGTCAGAGGTCCTACCGTTTCCCCGAACCGTCAGTGCATGGGTTAGCTGGGCAGCAGTCCCTCAGTGGGGACTTTGTCGTTTGTATCTTATGGCCAATAAAGAAAAGCCAGAATGGGGTGTTTTAGCGCCATTTGGGTGCCTGGGCACAATTCCAGTCTTGACGTCCTACACATTATTCTCTGTACATAGCAGAGTGGTGGCTCAGACCTGCTGTTATTACAGATTAAAAGGAGGCTTTTGAGTAAGTTCAATTCCGCTTGAATTTCCCCTCTGATCTTCTTATTCATAACATTTAGTGACCTTTGAACAGCCCGGGATGCTTCGCAGTGTCTTGTTCTTGAAGCTTGCTTAAAGGTTTCTATTTCATATTCGTGGCTGGCATATGCAAATATGTAAAGATTATGATGCCTTCCCAGTGGCATTACGGTCAACAAATCACTCCTTGGGTGAGCATGCTGTTGTATAGCCTCGTGTGGTGGCTCACAGCATACAGGCGGCCTTTTAGCAGCCTGCCCCAGAGCTGGTGGGGAGCTCAGGTATTCCTTGACTCAAGGTGATGATTGTTTATCAGCGTTTGCCATCTCCATGGACAAGCTCTCCGTTGGTGTCGAAGGATGCTGTCGTTAGGGCTGAGGGTGGGTACTGTGGGAAGGGTGGATTTGGGGAAGACAGAGACTGAAGCAAGTCTGTGTGTTTTCCTAGAACTGAAGAGTCCTGTATAGTCCGAATTAATCCTAATTTAAAAAAAAAAAAACCAAAGTCAGACATGGGGGTAAGTGCTGAAAGATCAGAGAAGCCAGCCACTAGAGAGATTTCTTACCTCTACTCAAACCAAATGGACTATCCTTTTCTGCAAACCCTCAGGCTGAATGTCATGAGCTCCTGTCCCTTCCCACCTTATGTACCTCTCTTCGCTGCCCCAGTGCTGGGATTAAAGGTGTGAGCTTCCACAACCCAGTCTCTTTCTTTGATTGAATCTCGTGTAGCCCAGGGCGACTTTGCCCTCCTAATCTTTCTGTTTCATCCTCTCAAATGCTAGGATTAAAGGTGTGTACCACCACTGCCCAGCCTCTAAGATACACGAGTGGCTAGCTCCACCCTCTGATCTCCAGGCAAGCTTTATTTGTCAAAAACAAACTAAACATCACATAACAGTCCTGGTTGCATTCTGTCTCTGCAAGCATCTTGTAGTGTGATCAGTCATTTAACTCCTCTGGGCTTAAGTTGTTGGTGTTTATAAAATGAGTTTGTACTGAGGGTAATTGTCATGGTCCGTTCCTTGCCATTGTCTGAGTGAGGGAAATGTCCCTTTTACCGGGTTCTCAAGCATAGGCCCAGTTAAGGGGTAAAGAGAGATTAAGGCCTTCACTGTTTAGCCCACTCACTAGCACCTACCTGGCGACAATTTCTGAGTTTCTGTGTTGGGATCTGTCTCGGTTACTACTATGGCTGTAAAGAGACAGCAAGGACCAAAGCGACAAAAGAAGTTATTTAACTAGGGGCTTGTTGATAATTTCAGAAAGTTAGTCTTGGTTAAGAATGGTGGGGACCATGGTGGTAGGCAGGCAGACAGGCAGCAGTGGAGCTAAAAGCTTTTACATCCTGATCCAGATCCACACACAGGAGGCTGAGAAGGGGAGGGAGGGGGATGGAAGGAGCTGAGGAGAGGGGTTTGGTCTGGCATGAACTTTTGAAAGCTCAGAGTCCACCCCCCTGACATACCTCCTCCTTTTTCCTAAGCAGTTCACCCACAGGGAACCAAACACCTGGGTCTGTGGGGGCCACCCTCGCTCAGACCACCACAGGGTCTGTAGTGCTGTGTGAGCCCTCCAGGTCATCCGTCTGCGAGTCCCTGCGGAGATTAACCATGGAAACAGGCAGCCCCATGAACACAGTTTAGGGCCTGAATTCTCTCAGCTCCCTTCCAGGCCCAGCATTGGAAACATCAAGAGCCTGGAGCCTGGAGCAGGAGTTGGAAAATAAGGAAAGCAACAAGCTTCCGGGAGACTGTTACTAGTATGTGGGCGTGTCTGTTACTGCATTTTAAAATAAAAGCCCTTTCCCCAAATTAGCACCCAGAAAGATAAATGAGTTACCACTTCAGAACTGTCTCTCAGGCATCATGCTCCTGGGGCAGACACAGTGACAGGTAGCTACATCCTGGTCCAGCCTGTGCTGCTCCTGCGGCAGACACAGTGACAGGTAGCTACATCCTGGTCCAGCCTGTGCTGCTCTTGCAGCAGACACAGTGACAGGTAGCTACATCCTGGTCCAGCCTGTGCTGCTCTTGCAGCAAACACGGTGACAGGTAGCTACGGGACTCTGAAATAGGGCAGCCCTGAGCAGAGACAGGCATGTAGGCAGGGTCAGCCACAGAATTCTGAAGACCTGGGAAGAAAGAATGCCAACTATCTCATTAATTTTTTATATTGATCCCATGTTCAAATGATAATACAGTTGGTTAAATAAAATATATAATTAAAATTAACCTTACTTGCTACCTCTTTATTAGACAGCCACTTGGATGTTGTAAATTGCAGATGGGGTTCAGAGTTGTAGCTCCTGTATTTATCATCCGGCCCTGCCCTAGACGGTTGATTAATGGGTCATAATTAATTACTCTTCCCTATTATGTCTGAGTGCCTTTTTCCCCTTTTGTTTCTTTCCAGGCACAGAAGCTGAAATCCAATGTGTCGGGCAGTACACATCTCTGTCTTAGTGATGTAAGTGCTATTTCTTTTTGTTCTTCTCTTTTAGGGACGTAGACTTCTGTACTGGGTAGATAATATGTAATATTTGAAGATCAGTAAGGTCTTGGATTCAGAAAAGATCTCATCACCCTCTGTAATGTCCTGATTTTGGAGCAAGGTGTAGAATTGAGATTCCGTGCAAAGTTTGAACTAAACGTACAACTTGTGATCTTCACCAGAAAGCCAGCCTTAACACTAAATCCATTGTTCTGTGCTGAGCGATGCCTGAGGTCAGTGACCAGGAATCGTGTATGCTGGTTCAGGGATCCTGACCTGCAGCTCCTCTGGACCCTCTACCCTTGACAAAGAGGAGATAGCTAGGTGTATTGTGTGCCCTCTTTCTCTGCTGTGAGGGGAGGTAGCGTCATGGCCCCGAGCATCTGTGATGGCGCAGTGGAGGTGTACACCATAGAGAGAGAGAGAGCTGTGCTGGCCAGACAGAACAATGCTGTTCTGACGTAAGCTCCCACACTGAGGAACTAGACAAGATTTTGGCCCTGTGGAACTCCTCTTGTGGGGTTAGTTAGGGATTCAGGTTGTCTCTGGCATTCATAGTGAACGTCTGTCTCTCCATGAGCCACACATTCCCAGATGGTTCTTCCTGCCTTACCCTCTGGAGAGAGTCAGCAAGAAGCCCCCTCCCCAATGAGGAGGCCACACCTATTAGGTGGTCTAGAAAGAGAAAGGTAGCGACCCCCCCACTAGACATTAGCGATCCCCCCCACTAGACATTTTCCATCAAATAGGGTGTGCGAAGGAGTGAGCAGAAAGCATCAGCCCCCATTTGATCCAAAGGACCTATATCTTACCTAAGTTCATGGTTTCATCTCCTAAAACTAAAAGTTAGCCACTTGGATCTCAGTGGTTAAATCGCAGGGCAGCATTTTGTGAGAGTCTGCGGTTAGAGAGCGGGAAAGTGGGGTAGAGAGCATGGGTGAAATATAACATGAGGAAGTGGGTACATGCCGCGGATGATAACGAAAACATTCTTTCTTACAGCCTGATTATGAAACGGATGGTCTCGCTGGTGCCTCCAGCCGCATAAACAAAAATTCTATGTCTGCTGCTCCCAGTTGCAGTCTGAGCTCACTGCTGGCTCTGGTGGTCACCACTGTAGCCACCCTGTTATCTGTATCCTTGGCAGAAACATTGTAGCCGCATTCAGAAAAGACGGAAAGACAAGCGAGAGAAAAGAACAAACAAAACTAAGCCACCTGTTTCCTGTCCTCTTGTATATCTGAAATTCCAGTTCTGCTGAGGTTTCATCCAACTGGAACTCTTTTGTTGTTTTTAAGGAAGCTTCTCGTGACCCCCAGGGGCTTCTGTGGAAGAACCACTACAGGGCTGACTCCAGACTCAGAAGGCTCCATGGCATGGTGTGGGTTAAGGGGACCATTTGTAAACTGAATGTAAAGCAATCATAAGGCTGTGTTTTTGATGGTGATGGTTATGGTGGTGAGGATGGTGGCGATGGTGGTGGTGGTGATGACGGTGATGGTTTTAACAGCTTAAAGTCTGTTCTCTTTACTGGCTAGAACAGGAGATGCTATTGACAAAGATTCTTCCCTGTCTTATTTAATAGCTTTGAATTGTATTAACATGACTGCACCCTGATAATGATGACAAATGAAGGTTGGCCTCACGAGTGGACTTTTTGGACTCCGTCCTGTACTAAAAATGTCCACCTCTCTATGTACGTTCTGCACACAGTGTTTATGTACCTACCAACAATTCTGTGACCCTCAACAAAACAAAAAACCCGGTCACATCCAAATGGAGAACCTGTCATTCAGCCCAGTAGAGGAGAGGCGGCCGCGGGCCTCACACAGCGCTGGGATTGCTGACGGACCCTCTCCTGAACCTTGCCTGAGTGAGAAGACCTTTAACAGGAGCCGGCTACGGCTGAAGTGCAACTCTTAATGCTTTTTACACCTACGACGTCACACGTAGAAAAGGTGTTGCTTTACTATTTAGTGATTCCAACTATTGGCTTTCTACGTTTTGAAAGTAACGACACGTCCTTGTTTTTTACTGATGGTTTAATACAGACACATGCAGCGTGTTTTCCTCTCATGATTAGTGCCAGCCCCAATATTAACTTCACCGATAGCAGCTCTCGGAAGCAGACCCCCAGGAGCCCCCCATGCTTTAGCTGAGACTGCATCGCATTACTGTGGACAGGCAGGAGAAAACAGCAGCCCCTTGGCACGACTGGCCATTGGCACAGCCCCAGTTCCTTGGCTTTCAAGTTATGACAAGGGCAGCTTTGATCATGACAGGGCACAAGGGACAAGATAGCATGTGCTGCTCTCTTTCAAAGTTGATCCCCGCCAGGGTGCACAGGAGTATCCGCGCTCCTGACTGTGGTGTCGTGGTCACCGTTTAGAGCAGTTTGGTTTCAGGGTCACCAGGCATCTGCTCTATCTACCCCTATGGCCTTTATCACAGACTGTGCCCCTGCAGAAAGGAATGGTGGTTTATGGATCTTGATGGCTAACATGGAGTCTGGAAAGGTGAATTGATTGTCAAAGATACACAGAGCAAGATCGGACTGTCTTGATGGGACATGTGGCTTACATAGCCTCACACCTCCTCCTGAGTCCTCTTCCTCGCCTGAGCAGACCCTTGTGTGTGTATCTAAGCCCTGCTGTAGATGGTCAGGTTCAGAATCTTCAGCTGATTGCCTACTGGCAACCATCTTTCCCCACAAGTGAATAAAGGAAAGAAATTCTTCCTCCATGGAGCTGTGGAAGTGTGATCTTGCTTCCCACCCTCAGAGAGACAGAGGCAGGAGCCCTGGGGCACACATACCTGCCCCCTGCTCTCTGAGATTGGCCTTGGATGATAACAGATCACCTGGGAAAGGGGGAAGAAGTCTGTGAAAGTCAAGAGATGAGCCTGGTTTTCAGCTCTTTTGGTGTCTGGGCACATTTATATCCAAATGCTAATGAATACCAGTGTAAAATAGTCGGTAGCAGAATTTTTTTTATGTCGAAATGTTTCATGGGGAACGCATCCGGCATCCACGTATGCCTGATCAGTGGGAAGTTCCATGAAGACTCGTACGTACAGCGAATAAACACCTTGAGTGTCTCAAAGCCGTTTAGGATGCCAGTCATGTGGGAGCATATCTCTTACAGAGCATATTTGGTTTTAATTAAGGTATCTCCATGTATCTACACTGGACTAATTGCATGTGGGTCTGACTGGGTGGGATCCACCTTAGGAAGCTATCGATTAGCCCTGCAGTCTACTGCAGCCCTAATTAGCTTCAGAGGACCACAGAGGAAACAGGAGTCCTATGCTAACAAGGGCAGCCTTCAACCAAGAACTCATAGTTATGCAACATGCAAATCAAACTTGGAAAAGCTCTTGCCAACAAAAATCTGGTTTTCTCTCAGAAATGAAAACACATGAGTGCTACCAAATCCTCAGTTTGAAAGCAAGTAGCTGAGGAGATAAACAGTGGGCGGGGCCTCGCTTAGGGACCTCGTGGTGGGGAGACTTAGAAAACCAGCTCAAGTTAGCGGGCTTGTCATTCGCGATCTCAACTTGACACATGAGACTGACAGATTTGTCTGGAGAGTGGAGCAGGAGATATGGCAGTCTTCTCACCTGACCTTCCTAGAGCCCTGATGAGCAATTTGCCACTTTGTATCCCTCTGCTTTCCCTTCGCACAGACCAAGGTTTGGTCTGCTGGGGTTGGATTCCTTGCAGAAAGCTCCTCACGGAAGGAAGTGGCTTTGCTAGTATAGCAGACAGGTGTGTCCAGAGTGATTCAGAATCTAGCCTGCCCTACTTCAGAGAGAGAAGGCGACAGAGCCTCACGGAGTAGAAGCACAGTAGTTCAGCTCGACCTTGAATGTCCTAGAGCAGATAGCCTTTGTGAGTTTGTCAGAGAGCACAGGAGGAGAGATGCGCGCAGCAAGGAGGGGATTCGGCATGAAACGCCGCCTTTTTCCACATCTGATTTTTTTTTTAAACCTCTAATAGAAAAAACTAGACATTGCACATTGCAAAGGGTTATTTTTCATTGAGTAAAGCGAATTGTATCTAGGTGTGATTGGAAGGTGGTTTCTATTTTGTTTGGAAGGCAATTCCACGTCTTGTAGGTAAGCAGAAATGTCTAAAGTTATAGCTTCAAGTTCATCCCAATACAGCACAGGAACTCTCCAGAGTCCTGAGTTTAATCCTTGTCTGTAAGTCAGACATTCCCAAACATCCCATCTGCTGAGTCAGAGACAAGAGAGGGTGAAAGTGTGTTTGAATCAATGTTTAGTTAGGAAAAGAGACATAAAAGCAGTGGGGGTTTATATAACTAGCAATTATTTTCTTAGATTCCAACATAAACGTTCTTCAGTTATTACTTACAAAATAGTGGACTCAGAGGAGCTATCGTTGGGAAATGTGTTTTTATTCACATAGCCAGACATGCACGACTTTCCTGATCCATGTGAACCAGAGGAGGGTTGCTTAAGTAAGCTCTCGTTCTGCCTTTTGAATGCCGCTCTGGTCTCCGTGAGTCACCTCCCTGCAGTCTCTGCTGGTGTTGCTTGTGCTCTTTGCCTGAGCGAATGAAACCATGGGAGACCCATCTTTGTAAGAAAAACCACGGCAGCAGATGGCAGTGAATTACCACGGCCTGGGCACTGTGGCACCAGGCGGCCCATCTTCCCCGAGCCAACAGGGGTTGGAGAGATGAAATCAAGGTGCATCATGCTGCCAAGACAGCCAATGGGCTGTTGACTTTGCTGATACCCCTCTCTGGGGCCATGTTCTTCTGATAAAACAGCCGGTGTCCTGAGAGAGTCGGGAGGTCTTTGGAAAGGAAGCTAGACAAGATGGTGACAAGGGAGGACTTCGCTTTTAGAAACCCTCGAGTAAAAAGGCTAGGGCATGTGGCTGGGTAACCCTAAGAGCTGTGTTTCTCACCCTGAGCAAGGAATCTCATGTCTTTATCTGACATGTCTTCACTTTGATGCAGCTTTTCTTACTGAGCAGGTTTAAGTCTTTTCTAGAATTCTTCACGAAGAACCGTTACTTAGGAATGATAGTATGGCTGCAGAGGCCTTACTCCCTGGGCTGCTCCTGTGCCTCTGTATGCACTCTGTAGGATGTCCATTTCCCAGGGAGAGAGATGTCTTAAGCTGTGGTTGGTTTGGTCACCGTCCTGTTGATTGGTAACGCCGCCGCATTTCCCTTTTCCTTTATTGCCTGAGTATATCATAGAGTCTCTTCTAATGTAATCTTCACCCCAGTCACTCTGAATTCAATGCTGCCAATGTCCAGCCACGTCCCGTCAGATGCTCATCTTATGGAAGGAAGCCTGTCCGGAGCCAGGTGATGCAGCATCAAATCAGGAATGCCCGCCCCTCCCCCTCTCTTGAGAGCCCTCTTCACTTGGGTTACCCTGCCCTCAAGCCCTCATGGGAATCCTTTTGCTCTCTGGGGGGCTCCCTGGTAGTCCCAGAGGCAGCTCAGAGTGACTCCTCATCTGAACGTGCCACCTGCATTTCTGATGAGTTCTGAGTCCCAGCCCGGAGGGGTGGGGAAGCCACACAAACCCAACTGCAATAAGCTGCCTGCAGACTGCTCCAGCCTGCTGCTAGTCATCAAGGCCTCCGAGGCCCCGAAGGTCTGTCTCCAAGCTCATTTGACCAACGCAGCTGTGACTTCGGCTGTCTGCCACTGGCAGGTGCCAGTATCAACATCTTGTCCCACTGCCACAAGGAGGATTTCATTTGCACTCCAGGGCAGCTGCCAAGCCCAGCACCAGCACCAACAGAAGGAATTCTCTGGGTTTTCTCTCTTTAACACACTCTGAAACCTCCTTACTAGTCTCCACTTTCATCTTATAGGGGATGCCAGGAGCCTGACCAGAGACGGACAGTTTCAGTCATAACATTGCTCCCGGCTTAATGCCCTCCCTCGTAGGTCCAGCCTATAACAAACACTTTTAAAATGCTGGTTGCCTGAAAAACATGGTACACCAAAGGGCTTCATCCTGCCCCATGGCAGCAAAAACTGTCCAGGCACATAGCTGTGCTGACCTTGAGTGGCACTTAAAGTGGGCTGGGATACTCCTGGGTCTAGGAAGATGCTCAGCTCACCGTGTTTCCTGCCAAGAACTGAGACTTGAGCAGTCGTCCTTGGAGGAACTGGGCATGACCAACTAATCCCAACAGATCTACATCTGCCCCACCAGTGAGCCTGTGGAGATTTTCATCTCCATTAAACAATGGTGCCAGACCCTTCCAGCCACCGCAGGGGGATAGCCTTTCCATTCCCCATCCCAGGAAGGAAGGGCCAACATCTGTCCACTTAGCACACATGGTAGGCAGGTTCTGACGCTGGCTGGACCACCCTTTGGCACAGCAGCTTCCCCACAAAGAACTGGGACATCTTAGGTTTTTTGGTGTTCCCAGGGGGAACACCTATTCCTGTTTACCTGCTGATTGGTGCAATCCTTTAGTTTGACACGCACTCTATAATAGGTAGGCTATGGTTCTTGTGTCTCAGTTCCTATCTGGACAGGCCAAAGCAGCTGCCGTGATGGGGGAGGCAGACAGCCTCCCTGAAAGAACCCAGGCCTCAGATGGCCATGAGCTTAGCATACAGGTGCATCAGTGGGGATGTCATATTGGTCGAGAGCTTTGTCACAAGCATGACAGTGGGGGACACGGGAGTGGCTTTGAGGATAGCAAAAAAACAGGACACATTTTGAAATAGTTTTAGCGTACAAAACAATGGGTTTCATGATTCCGTTTTCATACACATCATTGTGGTATACTACTTCATATGTCTCCTCTCTCTCTCTCTCGTCTCCCCATCTCACTGATGCTCTTCATCTGGCCGTGTTTAAATAGCTAAACTCTAAATATCTGCAGGGAACTTTGATGCCCATGGAACACAACATAGATCCCACAGTGAAAGTGAATTGACATGAAGAATGGAAAATCTAATGGTTGCTCTGGTATAGGAAACTCAGGTTTGGTTTTGTTTCAGAGTAAAGAGTAGTCATCAGAGGGCAGAGAAGACATTAACTATGCCTTCTAACACACTGGACTGTAAGATACCATCAGCTCAGACCCGACCCACCTCCTCCTCTTCACTCAGGCAGGGCTGCACGGTCCAGCAGCAGCATCTTGGTGTGAAAAGTGTGCTTGATCTGAGTCTGGGTTGTTACTGTTCGTCTGCGACTGAAGGTGTTTCTGGAGGAAAAGAAAAAGAGAGAGAAAGCAAACGAGCTGTAAAAGCAGTCAAGCTCAGCTGCTGTGCTTTTCTGGATTCAGAGAGAGCTGATGTCCTCAGAGAGTTGAAGGATGGCTTCAGAAACCCCAAATCCAGAGCCTTGCAGCGTCCCTAATTATCTGGCTTTGCTCTCTCATCTCTCACCCAGGGGACAAGGGGAAGCTGCCCATCACACAGCTCGCTTGAGAGAGTTTCCTGTCTTGTGCACATTATCCCTTGATATTGAAATTATTTTCCCTGTTTAATCCAGCTCCTGCTGAGAAGCTGTGTGGGATTTAAGATGCAGGATTTTGTCTTGTACTTTCCAATGGGGTTGCATCTTTTACTCCTAACCAGAGGGTGTGTTTCAACTGCTGCTGATCTGGTCCGGGCAGGTTAGTTTTAAGTAGAGAGGACGCCAGTTTCTGATGAGGTATTTTCAGAATTCTGACCCGAACAAGGGCCCAGATTCCTCCTCAGAGCCAGGATGAGAAGAAGAGCAGGTTTGGTTAGGAGGTCTCAGGTTAGGAGAGGCCTCCTTGTGTTCACAGTGTTTCCCACACACCAAGGAAGGGGAAATTGCCTCACTGGGTGGCAGATCTGCTGAGGACAGCCATTCATCTCCCAGGTTGCCCGCACATCTTCACTCAGTGGACCATGCTTCTTGCCAACAGAAGACCACCGACGCGTAGAAAGACAGTTTTCCGTTTGAACTATGGCAGAGGTTAGGTGATGTTTGAGTTTTCTGTCTGCCTCTTGCTCAAACCCTACAGAGTGTATGTAGTCCCTTTTGCCCTCCCCACCCCCAGAATATCCCAATAAATGTTCTGTTCTTTTATAAAAAAAAATGGCTTGTATTATTTTTTTGTCTTGGTGGCAAATTCCCTGACAGAAGCAGTTTAAAGGGGAAAAGGTTTATCTCAGCCCACAGTTTGAGGGTACAGTCCTCACAGAGAAGAACATGGTGAGAGACCATGGGACTGTAATTCCTCACTTCACGATAGGCCAGAAAACTCAGGCTGGAAGTGGGGCCAGACTATAGCCCTCAAGGTTCACCGTCCTGCAGCAGCTTATGTCCTTCAGGAAAATCCTGCCTCCTAAAAGTTCCAGAACCTTCTGAAATAGTGTGACCAACTGGGGGCTCCATTTTCAAAGACTTGAACCTATGAGGAAGATGTTACGTTCAAACCATAACATGGGATGTCTTTTGTTTATACCTTAACTTTTAAAAAATGATGTTAAAAAAGACTCTTTTTGAAACAGGGTCTCACTGTGTAGCCCTGGCTGGCCTGGAACTCGCTATGTAGACCAGGCTGGCCTCTACTCAGATCTGCCTGCCTCTGCCTCTCCAATGCTGGCATCGGTGATGCGCAATAGCACACCCAGGAGGATGTTGAAAATTTGCAGAGCTCTCCAAGACAGAGATGCTAGTGTTTGGGCTGGCAGATCATAAAGGATGCAGTATACTTGTGTCATCACTTCCCAACCTGGGCACTACTGGCTTGTAGGTCAGGTCCTCGACATTGTCAATATTTGGTAGCACAAATAATGAAAGTAGCACAAATAATGAAAACCCAGAGATGAAGATACTGGGGTTCAACCTAAAAACCAGAAAAGAAAAGCAGCCGGTCACTACAGAAGTCTTCCCTCTACCAAGGCTGTGTAACTGCAGACTAAGCAGACAAAACAGACGAAGCCTCTCTCTGCTCCTCTTTATAGTCTCCTTAGTGCCACAATTAAAGGCACGGCTCCCTGGTACTGAGATTAAAGGTGTGAGCCACCACCACCTGGATGTGTTTCAGCATTGATCTTGTGTAGCCCAGGCTAGCCTTGAACTCACAGAGATCCATATGCCTCTGTCTCCCAAATCCTGGGATTGGAGGTGTGTGCCACCACTGCCTGACCTCTAGTGGCTTAGATTTGCCCTTCTGATCTTTAGGCAAATTTTATTTATTAAAACGTAAATAAAATCTCATTGTATCCCTGGACAAGCCCAGCCTTCAAATGTTTCTCAGCATTCCCAGATGCTCAGTTGGATGGGCCAGCATCACCCCTAGCTGGAGGCTGCTGTTTTATACACAGTCTGATCTCTCCTGTGAGCGTTCTCAGAGGAATTCCTTAGACTTAGTGGAGGGGCCACAGCTGACATTTATTTTCTGTCTGTTAAAAGCAATTTTGTTTTAAATTTTTTATTCATTTCACATACCAATCACAGTTTCCCTCTCCCTCCCCTCTTCCTACTCTCCCTCCACGCCATCCTGCATCTACTTCTCAGAAAGCGTAAGGCCTCTCATGGGGAGTCCATGAAGTAAAGGCAATTGTGTAATCACATTATTGGGTTGGTAGATTCTGTTTACCATCCTATGCACTGAATGATCCATATAGATTTAAAGTAATATTTTCATAAAAGGTTACAGCTTAGAATGGGGTCATGATGTGGGGTTCCCCTCTGCATGCTGTGAATACCATTGGTTAATGAAGAAACTGTCTTCGGCCTGCTCAGAGCAGAACAGAGGTAGTGGGGGGCGGGAACTAAACTGAATGCTGGGAGAAAGAAGGCAGAGTCAGCGAGAAGCCATGGAGCCACTTGGAGACAGACATGCTGAACCTTGCCAATAGGCCACGAACTTTATGGTAAAATATAAACTAATAGAAATGGGTTAACCAAAGATATAAGAGCTAGCTAGCAATATATTTAAGTAATTGGCCAAGCAGTGATTCAAATAATACAGGTTCTGTGTGATTATTTCGTGGTCTGGGCAGCCCAGAACGAACAAGCAGCTTCCTATAACAGGGTTGCTTTTTGTATTTCTAGAACGGAAGTCAATGCCTGGCCCAGAAAGCCACTTAGAGTCCCAGATTTCTCTCATCTTAGGAGCTGAAGACAGCTACTCTATAGTGCTCCCATCTCCCTGGTGGGTGGCTGTCACTGTGTCCTCCATCAGGACTCAATAGGGCAAATGTTTAGACACAGGCACCATAATGAAGTTTCTCACCGTTGTGTGGAAAGAAGATTCACTCTCCTTAAAGTCTGAGGAACAGTGAGACCTGGATTCCGTGTGACACAGAGGTGTTTCGTTGAGGCTTCTGTGGGACCACTTTATTAGCATACTCTAGTTATTATGGAGTTCGCTGCAGCATTTTCATACATGTATATAATACACATTTGTCACATTCACTCCTGTTAGCCTCTCAAGTCCCCCTGCCGCTCCTCCTAACCCCCCTACTCTCATCTCTTCTTTCCCCTCAATGAGTTTAATTAGCTTTGCTTATAGGAGGGTGGGTCGGGTTATTTACAGAGGCCGGGACACTTTGCCAGTAGCTACACTACGGAAGAAACTGTCTGCTTTTCTCAGCCACCATTAGCTATGTATAAGCTGTTGGGGTATTTAGGACTTCCTGAGCCTCTTCTGTGTTCTCGACAGGATGTTGATAAGACCAATCTTGTCCAGGACCTGTGACTGTACAGCTTCTCTGCGCTTGAGGGTTTAACAGCCTGGCCGTGCTCAGAAAACAGCATTCCACAATGGTCTGCCCCGTCCCGCTCTTCTGTCCTTCATTCTGCTCTCTCTTCTGCAGTTCCTTGAGCTCTGAAGAGGATATCCCATCAGGACTAAGCATCCAACTGCCATGTAGCTCAGTACTTTGATTGTTTATGAGTCTGCCCATTCAAAAACAAAGCTTTTCTCACCAACAGTGATTAGTAAACACAGGATAAGCATACAGAAGGCCGTTTTATGGCCACATCATGTCCATCTAGCAGAATACCAGCAACAGCTTCTCCACTGTGGACTATGACACCGTCAGGTTTTTTGTGTTTTCTTTTGATTTATTTATCCCGCTGGGCTTCCCTTGCCTTGCTTCCTGGGTCTACTTCCAAATAGCCAACCTTGGGTTGATGGCATCCAGACCTTTCAGAGTTTCTGAGTCAGTATGCAGTGAAAGTTTGCAAGCGTTCAGACCTGGATAACAAAAGCCGTAGCTCCTGGGTTCTGGGCTTCTCGAGGAGAAGGACACAGACAAAATGACTTCTGCCTGCTCAAGGCTACAGAGGTGGGCAGAGAGGTAGGGCTTTCCCAGCAGCAGAAACAAGGAGAGCAGCCGGCAAAAGGTCCTTCACCTGTGCCCTCCGTTCACATTCTAACCATCTTCCGAGCACAGCCAAGTCCCCAGGACACTGGTGATGGAAGTTTTAGGAGCTGGAACAGGAAATGTCTAATAAAACCCTGAGAGAAATGCCAAGAAAGCAAATAAAAAAATTGTGACAGGAACAAGATACAAGGCTGCCTGTGTTGGTGATATAAATAAAGCATAAACGGAAACACAGCGAGTGGGAGTAGCCATTAAAGTCCCATAAACCACGGTGAACACCGCACTGAGGGGCTTCAACCTCACAAAAGGTTCCCTCCGTGCAGGCTAGCTGAGAAGGGAGTCGCCATGGTTAAAAAGTGAAGTGAGCTTTGGCCTCTGATTGCTCAGGTGCGTACATAAACAGAGTAAATTTATCTCCTCCTTAAAGAGAATTGTAAACATGTGTATGCAAATTTGCACATGCCCATGTATGTCCCCGTGTGTGTGGAGGCCAGAAGAGGGTGTCATGTCCTTTGAAACTGGAGTTGCAGGCCTTTGCCGGGACAGCTGGCTCACTGTGCATGGTTACTGGGACCCAGATTCTGGTGTCCATGAATGTGCACGGAGGGCTGTTAGCCACGGAATAGCTTCACCATTGCTTTCTGGAAATGTCCTGATTTAAAATTCATGCTGCCTGGAGCCACAGTCCTACTGCAAGGAGTCCATCCCTGATTCTTCTGCAGCATGCCCAAATCCATGCAGATGTGTCTCCTACCGCAGAATGATTTATAATGGCAAACAACTCGGGAAGACCAGACAAAAGAATGCTACACAACCATTTTCTTATTTTTCTTATTTTTAATTTTTTTGATAATTTCATATGTGTGTCCAATATGTTTTGATCAGATTCATCCCCATGCCCTTCCTAGCCTTCCTCCCCCACTGAAGCACCTATATCCAACCAGTTCTAGCCTACTTTCTCTTTTTTCCTACCTCCATGTCTTATTTTATTTATATTTTTTGACCCACTGGATTTTCTTAAGATTGCTTCCATGAGCATGAATGGTGTGTGTGTATGTGTGTGCTGTTTACCGTTGTTTGGGTGACTCGCCCCTGGCTTACTCTGAGGAAGATAACGGCTGGTCTCCTGCAACCTGTTAACTTGTGCAACTACTTTTTAGAAGGTAGATGTAAATATACTAAAAATGAAAGCCTCTATAAAGAATTAAGTAAAAAGAAAAGTATGGGATAATGAAAACGATGGTCTTACTAGTATAAATATAGTGGTATATAGATGACAGACAGATGATAATAGTTGATAAATAGGTAAGAGATTCCAATAGATTATAAATACATCATAGCTATATGGTATAGATATGAGTAAATGATCAATAGATACATGATAATATAACAGAAATGATTGATAGATGTAGAAAAGATCATAACTAGATGATAGACATGGTGCTAGATATAAGAAGGTGATAGATAGGCATACTGAAATGCTTTGACTACCTTCACAGATTTTTTTGCTACTTCTGCTTTGGAGAATAAGAACCAGAGAAAACTAAGGCTTTGTCATGCCTGTGACTGTTCCAGCTTCCGAGCCCTACTTTATGGAGAGAAGAGGTGACAACCCTCTGCCTCAGAGCTCTCTCAGGGCTGAAGTTCCCTGTCGCAGCCAAGAAAGCCCCTGCACATTCCAGGAAGCCACAAGCAGCATCCCCACAGCACCTTCTGCAAGATTAATTGCCTCAATTTC